GTTCAGAAAAACACACACCAATGGCCCTCCTCAAGACTTGGCAAAGATACAGTCCAAAGTCATTGTCTCCTGGAGACCGAACTTCTGAACAAATTACAAAGCATCTCTAATAACCTGAACTGTCTAATATTTATGATGGTGGTAATATCACCAGAAGTGAATTTTTTTTTTACAAATTTCCTATTTATCAGAGAACTTAATAATGGAGGGCAGAAATATGGGACACTTCGTAAAATTAGTATTAAAATACTTCAGTCCATTTGCAAGCAGGAAATATAAATTCAGGCTACTTGATGTATTAACTTTTTACCTGCCACCTAATGCTCTCCTTGACATATTTTAAGTCTGTTATTATACTGAACAAATAAACCAAGTCACAAAATTGAATACACACATCTGAAGCAGGCTTCAAGATTTCACTTATTTTTCCGGACAAAACAAGCACCAGTGAAATTTGGAAAGTGCATTTCAGTCCACAGCTTTCTCAAATGGAAATATATCAAAGCTTTCTTGTAAGAGAAAAAAAATAATGCTCCCATGAGAATTGCTTGCCAGGGGCAAGCTCCATCTTCACAGTGTTCTAGTATCACCAGGAACCAGCCAAATTACTAGCTTTCCTATATGTAATCCCTAAAGAGATTCAGACAAGAAAGGTAGAAAAATCACTGCCAGGCTTGCGTAACAGGAACTGCTTTTGATGGCAAACCAGCCCAATAAGGCTTACAAAGAGTCAAACAAAATCACACATCCCACCAAAACTTGAACCTGATTACTTAGAAGAGAGACTTCTTGCAATGTCAAATCAAACAAAAGAAATAATGATATCCACAAACTCATACAAACAGGTCAGATGCCTAGAAACAGGTCAGCTCATCAGAACTTAGGATTTTTGGAAGAACATTCAGAAGATGGTAGAGGAAAACTGCCTTTGTCTGCTGTGACTAACTTGGATTTACCAGGTGCATGAAGACAATTCCATATTGAAACTAGAATTCAAGGCAGAGACCTCCCCTTGCTTTGAACCCAGCACAGAAGAGATGTTTTGGTTGGATGAAGAAATATTAAAAGCAAAAAAAAATCATGTAGTAAAACCATAAAAAATTGCTGTAATTTATGGTTCAAATAAAACTTACAAACTTATCAGTAGAACCAGAACTCTCCACATTGTTATTATTATTAACAAATTATACATTTGATTCATACATTTCAAGGTTTTTAGCCTTTATTTTTCTACCTTATCTTTAATTCTAACAAACATTTTCTTCAAAATCATATGTGCAAGATCCACTACATAAAATAAAGTGCACCATATCTCCTGCTGATTTTGCAGCACGTAATAGCATGATATCTAGTTTTGTACAATTATTTTTCTGACAATGTGCAGCTACTTTGCTAACTAACCACATAAGAATGTAACATCAGCTTCATCCCCATCTCACACCCACTTTTAAGACATCATGTCAACTAAGAAGCTGATCTCAGCTGCTGTGTTGGACACTACCTCTTTTCTTGATGCACAAGGTAACTTTTCTGGCAAATACTGACAACTTCAGAGAAAGATTCCAGTACATTTTTAAGAGCACAGAACAATGAAGCAGTACAAGAACTGATTATGGGGCAAAGCTCTCTACCAATTGAAGATCAGAGCATTTGATACTGCAACTCGGGAAGGCTACACAGTTGTAAATATCAAATATACACATGAGCCAAGGCACAGGTGATCTCTTTGGACACTTCTTTTGGGCACAACTGTAGGAGTCTACAATTGCACACTAAGCAGCAGAGACTTTGAGATACACTTGCTCTCAAGAGCAAGTAGGAAAGAAGTGAAAAAGAAAGAAACCATCAGTGTCTTCTTGTTCACTCCTACCTATCACAAATACTACAAATACAGTTTCTTCCTCCCAGCATCTCCTTCAAGTTCCAGTGCAGACAATCCTGAAGACTTCAAGAAATTCCCTTCCCAGAAATTGACAATTTACCAGGGAAAATATAAACAGACAATTAATCTGATGGACATATTCAGGGGGGTAAGTCAACTAACAGTAATGACAACACCAAACTTCCTGTAAAAGGAAGGGGAAAGGGAAAACTCCTTCTACACACATCCAAGAATAATAGCAGTGCCATAGAAACCATGTAAAAAAAAATCAATACAATGCAGCCACTGAGCTGGGAGCTGAAGACCAGCTCTATACAAAGGTGAGCCATTAAATCATTGACTGGAACTACTTTTGGTAAAACCTCATAATTTAATTACAAATCCTATCCTAGTTCAATTTTTCTTCAAAAAACTAATCAGAGTAATTGAGTTATCTCTTTCAAGGTCTTGAAACGTATACCATCCCTCCCAGGTAAGTACATTTGTAATAGAGTTTAGAACTCCACTAAAAGTAATTCTTCTGCTAAAGCTCAAAATGAAATAAAGATGTTTCAACATAATGTACATTATAGAACTAGAAACTTTCATTACTAATCAAGACTAACTTATAGCTTGCTCATCAGGAAAATATCAGATGTCTCTACACCTACATTATGGTATCACACGTCTGTATAGACATGAGATATATCCCAAGATATATCCATATCTTGGCCAGGAATGCAAACACCAAGGTTTTGAGTTACTGTGCAACAACTCCTGTTCCTCATCCCTCACTCTCTAATAAACAGTGTTGTCAATAAAATTTGGCTTCTACAAACCAAAGACCCTATCGTTACTCAGAATTATCTGGAAGCAATACTAAAGCCATGACAAAGTAAATTGTGTTTCGTCGTTTTTTTCCCCTCCTCTGGCTGTGAGAACACACAGATCAATACTCTTCAGTATAAGAATTCTGCAGTGAAATTTTCATTTGTTACAAACAGCAACAAAAGGGCCCCAAGCATGCCCTGTCACTTCCAGTTTAGAAGGAAACGCACTAATAAACTCTTCCCCCTGGGTCATCTTTGACAACGGGCAATACTATGCCAGCTCTTATTAAAGGCAATTCATATCAGTGGCCCAAAAATTTCCTCTAAAATTATCATCTTTTGTATCCATGTAGCAGGATGTCAGCTTTAAAGTGCCACTGAGATATAGGACCTGTCATTATGGTTAATTTTCAGCAGAGTTTTAACACCAGAGTAGCTGATCCCTAAGGGTATGGGTATGCTTTTTTGGCTAACAAGATTTATTTAGCGGTTATCCAGACAAACAAGAAAATATATTACTGTATATTGCTTTTCAAATACATCAGCAAACAATAAATCCAACTATAAAACATATATCTTTGTTCTCTACCATGATGTCAAATAGATGAAAATTGTTTTGGAAGGTTTATCTTTTAGGGCATTTTTTAATATTTTTTATTTATATAGGTATATATGTGTGTGTATATGTATATTTAAAAAAGAAAAAAGATTCTTGGACTTTCAATAAAAAGCACACAAAAAGTAAAGTCAACCTTAAAATAAAAAAACCTCTATAGCTGCTATATAAATATATATAGCTAAATATCAAATTTATTATTTGAGCCATAAATATGGTGTTATCTATGAAATTACCTAAGTTTTTCAGCAGGACAATATGAGGCATTTTAAAAGATAGTACTATGAAATTTTATATTCTTGTTGATTCTTTATTTATTTGAGACAAATAGTATTCTTAATACCATTTTACTGTGTTTTTATACTAGAAAAAAAAATAGAAAACTTAATTTATTGGATAAATAAATTGATTAGCCCAGAATTTCTAACAACAATAGTCTGTTTTCATGCCTCAACAGGACTTATTTCAATTTATTAGGATGAAGACCATCTTTCAGTTTCCTAGACAAAAGGTGCATCTAACAGAATAAAAAGAAGCTCTTAACATGTTGTCTAAATCTCTGTATAGTCAGCAAGGCCCATTTTTATTGTATAGCAGCCATAAAACCTGGTTGACCTCAATCAACCAGCCTCCCAGGGAAAATACCTCTGCCAGCAAATACCAGATAAAAAATAGGTCAAGGCATTTCCCACACAGCTTTAATTTCTACAAACTGAGGACAAACTTGCTTGCCCTGTCCCCATTCCAGATACAGTGTCTGACTACAAGGTGCCAAACTGAGCAAATATCCCACTGCTTCACCAATGAACCAAGCAAGAGCCCACCGTGTGTTGGACCTCTGAACCCACCTGCCCAAAACAGCCCCTCCACCAGGCAGCAGCCCCACAAACAGATTTTGTACACCTCTTCTTTTTTCCCAGTTAAAAAACTGTAAACTTCATCACAACCAAGAATGAAAAATGAAGTTTTGGAGGTGACATAGTTAGGTAAAAGGCAGTTCAATAGCTTATTCCAGGCCATAGAACGCACAATTTTTGAAGTGAAAACTGAACTTCTATGTTCAACCACACCCTTTGCCAGTAAAGATTACATGTTTCCAGAGCAAAAGATGGAAAAAAGAAAAATCTCCAACGTGATGACACCACAAATGAGTTATGGTTGCACACCAGCTGACTTTTGAATTAATTTCAGCCAAAAAAGTATTTCAAGGGGGAAAAGCAAGTTTTCTTTTCTTTCCATTTACTTCTGTATTGGAAATCATCACAAAACAACTCTACAATGCTCCCAGTAGTCCTTGGGTAGGTGAAAGTTTACAACTCTTTTAATCTACCTGTCTCCCAGGTAACAGACCAATGTATTATTTGCTCTACTACCAGCATGCTCAAGGCAACAGATTTTAAAAGGGAATGGCAACTATGTATAGGTGGAAGCTGATTTGCACCTTAAGTTCAACAAATAGGACTCACACACATTCCACACACTGTGGGATCAGGGTTTCACACAGGTGCATTCCATGGAAAGCAATTTTAAGAAGCTTTGCAAACCAGTCTTTCAACTTATGTGAGTTTCACAGGGATATCTTTGTGTGATTGTTTCAGATCAAAGCATATGTAGACTAAATAAAAAGTGTAAGCAGAAAGCACTGGTATTAAAAGCATTTAACTGGATAAAATGAAAATAAATAAAACTTTACCTCGAACAATAAGTTGAGCAAAGTTTGAGACTCCAGAACCTCTCTCTGACTGCGTTACACAGCGGTATAAATCCTGGTCGGTTTTTGTCACCTCTTGTAACTTAAAGGTAGCTGCAAATCTTCTGTGATTGATATTTTTAGTCTGAGCAACTGGAATATCTTCCCCATTTCTTCTCTGAAAATAAGAGTAACCAAGTCAGAGTTAACTCAAAAGATATAAAAGACTTTTATCATTATCATCATACAAAGAAGACACAAAAAACAAAACCTCAACCCAAATGCACTCAGACCATGCTACCATGCACTTGCATGGTAGAAGAGCTCAGAACTGAGGTCCCATCAAGAAACAAACAGTACTCAGTATCATTTCAAAATCAAGATAGCAGTGAAAAGTACCGTGACGATTTTGCACTGGCACAAAAACAGGACCAGCTCAACTGCAACTTTCTTATAGCTGGAATCATCCTAGGACAGCCCAGCAGCAGCAGTTGTATGCTTAAGAAAATTCATTCAACTTTAAGAAGATTTACAACACATACTCTGGGTGTATTGTAAGATATATTTAAACAAACCTGGCATTGAGGGATTTCAAAGGTCTGCAACAGCTCTTTTTAAACCAACCAACCAATGTTTCCTTTTTAATGCTACCTTTTATCTGTCCAAGTTCAATACCTTCTAAAATTTTAGCTTTGTTATACTAAGCACCACCTATCCATCTAAAGCTAGCTGAAATAAAAAAGTGGAGGGCAGGAAGGCACTAAAAGAGGAAAAAACACAGATCTAATTTAAAGGAAGAAGCTTAGAGAGTTCTTAAAAAAAGCATAGCTACCACAAATCACTGAAAAATTTAATCTGTCTGGAGCTGCGGGGCCAGGTGACAGGTCAGTAAGATAGAAACAGTTTGAGCTCTTGTGGGATCATTTTTCCTTATTACCATTCACATTAAATGCTCAATTTTGATTTCAATGGAAAAGCAGACCCTCCACCAAAAGTCAGCATTAAAAAACACCCAGAAACATGCACAAAGAGAACAAACAATGTCACTGCTCTCTCCCATGGACCAACTGTATGTTATTTCGTGACCAGGATACAGTTTCTGAGCACTCAGCATCACTCAGTCCCTGGAAAGATGGCAGCATTTGCTTGTAACCACTCATTCTGCTCAGCACATAGCAAAGCGTGACCTCTGTGAACATTTTTAACTCTAATCAACCCCTTGAATGAGAAACTTCATTGAGATTTTAAACTCCAAGCTTTCTAACACCAAAAGCACTACTGCTGAGCCACAGAATTTAATAACCTGAAATCCTGTGGCAAAATACAAAGGGCAGAAAAAGAAGGTGATTTAATGCTGCATGTGTGTATCAGGCAGCCTCATGTCACAGGCAGGACTACTTCCTAACACTTTACATCTACCCTTTGTCATCCTAGCAGGGTCTAGTCCCTTTAAACTGTTTTGTGGTAGATTAACCAGTGGTCCATTACCATTGAAACAAGCATTCAGTCTAACTATTAACATGTTTAAACAGATTAATTGTATTTATACCAAACAGGCAGATTCCAGTCACTCACATTCCAGCACAAAGACTATGCCATTATCTTTGCCAGCTGCAGGTTTTTTGGTGGGATTTTCTCACTGCAGGAAGACACCATCCAGTTTCCCACACCCAGTCACCCTCTCTGCCATTTCCTCAAGTGTGAGCTCTGTCTGCAGGGCTGGGCCAGAAAGAGCCACAAGATACCAAGAGCAAAAACAGATTTCCAGAACAAAAAGGCACACAAGACACTTCCAAAAGATATTCTTATTGCTCCTCCCCTAAAACTGTCATCATCTCATAACAGCCACAAGCCTGGTTATCACAGGCATGGTCTCTGAGAGGGTGTTCCCAGAGCAAAGGCAATGGATGCTGGGCTCTAGGACACCTGGACCAACAGTGGTGCCACCAAGTCACCCTGTGACAGGCACAGGCTCCATCCTCAGCTCTGGGTATCTGACTCCAATTTAGAAAAATTAAGGAAGTTTTCTGATGTCTGCAAACACTCCTACACATGAACTTCAGGAATCAATGAAATTATTAAATTTCAATATCAAGCAAATGAGGGATGATGCTAAAGGTTTTATTTCGGTGATGGTTAAACAACAGTAAAATTATTTTGTGGAAGATGCACTTTCCCCTCCGGGCTTCATTGATAGAAAATACTAAATTTGAAAGAAGGATTTTCAAAACTTGCACTCCCTACCCTCCTCTCCACTTCAGCCCCACCCCCATTCCCCAGTACCAACCCAAGACTGGGACTGTCAGAAATTTTATTTGTTTTTAATTTGATATTTGTTTAATATAAACCTTGTATCTAGTGCCCTGAAATAACCAAAACTCATAGTACTTTCTTCCTCTCAGGCTTGTCCTGTGCCCTGATGGCCTTGCCACATCATAGCCACTCAGCAGAAGAAAGTCAAACTCCCACTAAACACAAACTTGCCATATGATTGTCAAAAATATCAAGCAGCCAATAATAAACCAAAGGTATATCCTTACATGATAGCAGACTTGACAAGCAAACCATGTAATGCAGTCATTTTTGTTCTGCTATGAAGGGAAAATACATATTAGGGAGTTCTCTAAAATGAAGGACTCCATTTCAGTAAGTCCAGATCTTTAAATTGGAATGCCAAGCGCTTAGTCTGCAGCAGAGAAGCACATCCAAGCTACACTATATAAAATAATTTACACTCTGAAGATCAGAACTTGCTTACTTAAGCTCATCTGCATGTTTCAAGTTAAGAAACAAAGTGAATTTGGCTTCTACTTAAAATGAAATATTAATTCACTTCCAGAGAAATTAATTAAAATAAAATTTGACAAGCTTTACAGTTCTAGAACAACACCGCAGATTTTCTTTATTTATATCAGTGACTTCCTGCCATATTATCTTACAAGGCTTGGAGTAGTTGCTCTAATTTCTCTGTATTAGAATTTGTTTCTTGGGAAACAACTGCACAACTACATTTTCAAAGTCCTTCTACATGCATAGATTATCCATTAGAATATTTCTCCATCATTAAAATGATGAAAAGTTCAAACAGAAGAGAGTTCTCATCTAAAAATGAATGGTAAAGAAAAAGCCCTGCATTCATTTCAGTGAATATTCCTTACACTGATAACCCATTAGCCAGTCAGAGTTCAGATGCACTGTCACGATCTCTTAATTAAATTCTTCTTTTTAATGTCAGAACATTACTACTGATTTTAAAGGAGAGGAAAGAAAGGCAGCAGTGCTCTCTGCTTACTAAGGGTTCCTGGTACATACTGTTTCAATTTATGTCCTGCTCACACTGAACAGATCTTGAAAATGCTGCTCAATTAAGTTTTAAAAATTCAATTTAAAATTAATGTGGAGTTATACTAATGGGTAATGGCTGTACCCTGTGTGATCCTTGGTTCCTCCAGTCTCTTGCTGTCTGATTTGATAACCCTGAATTGCTCATTTAAGAGAGGTCACCACCAGGCAGTTCTCCTCTTTTGTGAAAATAACTCTGGGCTTTACAAAGAACTACTCTCTCTAAACACTTGATTAAAAGAAATATTAGTCTGTGAAAAAACCTCCTTAATTCTGGCATTCCAGGCATTTAAAATTACAATCTTAAATAAATCGCTCTGACTTCAAGGTTATTTTTAATTTGATGGGAACATGATTTCATTAAACTTTTTTCAGGCAATGAAATTAGATCATCTATATTTTAAATAAAGTCAAGAGCAAAGCCTACGCAGCTTAAAAACAATCTTGGGTAAATTAACAATTAGTCTTAAATATCTCTCTTTTGCCTTATGAAAGAAATCAAGCATTTAGTAAATATGAAATGCAATTTTAGTGGATCTTTTAGAACCTAAGTGGAACCAAAAGAATCTAAATTGCCAAGTCTTATTTAATTGGTAGAATTTAAGTGCATATCTTATACAAATTTAAAACATATTAGCCTTTCTCCCTTAACTTTTCAGGTTGAAAAGTTGCTAGCTTTACTTTTTTTGGTTAAGTAGCAATGAGACACCTGTCTGCAGTGATGTTCCCTCTAAATTTTCCAGAACCCTTTTTTTAACACCAGTGATTTTTATAAGCCTGGACAGTTCAACCTTACACATCCCCGTCTTTTTCTTACTGTAAACACCTTAAAATAAGCCCACTCTGCTGCTAATAATTACAGTCAACTCTGGCTGCCTTCTCAGGCTCTCGGCTGGATGCCGGGATGCCTCCAGAGATCAGAAGATGTCAACGCTTTGGCTGCAGTGACACCCACGTTACTCTGGCAGCAGTGCCCTATCAGCTGCCCTGCACTCGCTTCCTCCTCACCTTCCCTCCTGTGCTCACTTACAAAAACCAACCTGGAATATGAAAAATCTTCCTGAGAGCTCTCTCCCTCCCCATATATTATCATCACCGAATGGATCAGCTTGTGGTCGGATTCGCTGCATGGCCACTGGCAGCAGAGGAGAGGGCAAGTTATGTGTGGTAAGCAGGGCACAAGTCCACAGGGTGTCTGAGCAACCCAGTCCCCCAAAGCTGCCATCAGAACTTCACCAGCAGCACAAGGGCTGGAAAGATAACCCCATCAGCCCAGGGCATTAAACCTCTGCTGCCTTGAGCAAAGGGCCATTTGTAAACAACACGTTCCAAAACATTCCTGGGTTTACTCATTATGTAAAGGAAGAAATGTCTCTTTTTGATGGGGAAAAAAAAGAGAGCTGGCTGTGGATAGTTTGAATGCCAGCATTAATGCCCAATCTCTGCCAGATCATATTTTCAAAAAAATTAAAATAAAAAAAAAAGAGAAGTAAAAGACACAAATAACTAGTGCTTAAATTTTATTTTATATGCACCTGTCTTTCACTTTTCCACAGACATACGTATTCTTTTAGAGCACTTAAGATACAATTTCCAAAGGGAGGAAATTCTAAAGCCATTTCTATATTATTGTTGCTGCTGTTGCTATTGTTATTATTATATTTTCTTCTTTTACACAAATGTCTCAATATGTTCTTGGCATTTTGAAATTTATTAACATACTAGGAACATAATAAAGCATGACATATACTTATTGTGTGAAATTATAAATAAAATTTTAATTTTTTCCCCCACAAAAGATTTAATTACTGAACAAAGTGGGATTATTTTTCCAAT